CCTATGGCGCCCCCCTACCCAGGGTACCGGCTCTGCTCGCTCACCAGGTCAGTGCCCCTCTCCGTGTAACAGGGTTCCTATGGCGCCCCCCTACCCAGGGTACCGGCTCTGCTCGCTCACCAGGTCAGTGCCCCTCTCCGTGTAACAGGGTTCCTATGGCGCCCACCCACCCAGGGTACCGGCTCTGCTCGCTCACCAGGTCAGTGCCCCTCTCCGTGTAACAGGGTTCCTGCGGCGCCCCCAGCAGGGGCACAAACCCCGCCAACGCACGGTCTTCGTCCAGCACCAGCAGCTGTAGCTCCTCGTCTGCATCACCATCGCCATCCGCCTTGTAGAGTGGCACCTCCCCCAGGTGGACCCGTGCCAGCTCATTGCACAGGTCTGCCAAGCACTGCCACACGTCCGGGCTGCTGCTGGGCAAAAGGGGCAATGGTCAGACCAACACAGATGGGCTGAGGAACAGGGCTCAGATCACGGAGATCCAGAACTAGTCTGTTCCTGTGCCTTTACCTACAGGAAATGACATCGCTTACGATTACATGAGGGCCGGCAGTTAGCGACTGGAGACTGAGCCTGCAGCCTGTCTGTCAGCAGTTGAGATGTGAAGGGCATTATAAACGAGCAAAGGGAAAAGCCGATACTCAAATGGGGGGCAGCCGCATGTCCTGACTGACCAGTAAGGCGGGCAAGGGTGGGGCATGAGAGATGGGGGGGGGGGGGGCAGCAGGCAGCTCTTTATGCACATCTGACAGCCCAAAGTCCAAGCAAGGGTTCTGAAGTTTCAACCACTGCTCAGGTCCCACTGGGCATCTCGAGTAAGACATTTCGTCCACATTTCTGTAGCAGCATGAAGGAGTGGAGCTGCTATCCATGAGAATCACTCTGGGAATAAAGGGCCAGTAACAGCCCTGACCTGACCTGCCGCGGCTGCCTTCCCACCCACAGCATGCAGAATCCCCAGCCTGCCCCCCCCCACACATCCGGCACAGGCTGAGTCACATGGTCACAAGCCAGTCGGATGAGTGCCCCCTCAGGTCAGGGGTCACGCTGGGAGGCCGGCACTGCATTCCTCTCCAATGCACCATGGCTCTAGATAACTGGCCAGGCCGAAGCCAACGTGTGTGTGAATGTGTGCATTCGTGTCTCTTATGTGTGAAAAGCAGATGGGGAACAACTGTAAGGACGCGTGTGTGTGTGTGTGTGTGTGTGGGGGGCGACGCNGTGTCTGTGTGAGACGGTGAAGGTGTGTGTGTCTGTGTGAGACGGTGAAGGTGTGTGTGTCTGTGTGAGACGGTGAAGGTGTGTGTGTCTGTGTGAGACGGTGATGGTGTGTGTGTCTGTGTGAGTGTATGACGGTGTGTGTGTGTCTGTGTGAGACGGTGATGGTGTGTGTGTCTGTGTGAGTGTATGACGGTGTGTGTGTGTCTGTGTGAGACGGTGATGAAGTGTGAGGCACTGGAGGAGGGGCAGACTGACTGACTGCAGGTGGCTCCATCATCAGCTCCTGCCAGGAAAGCTTATCACCCTGGGGTGAGATGACTTAATGGGAAGGGGGGGGTTAGGTGTTGGTTATGGTAAATGAAATAATGGTTTGTTCTTATCTCTGCGTAGTGCCCCGCCCTGGGCTTCAGGCTGAGGACATCCCCAGCTTTGTTGTTCTCGTCTCCATCTTCTTCTCAACAAACCGTGACATGTTATTCTTTTGGCATTTTGTAAGCACCCTGCTCCAGATGCACACCCCACTCCCCACACACACTTAAATAAACTGAAGGGACACGTGACCGAATAAATAAATAAATATCTGAATTTGCCATGATGCACGACCACCCAAGGCTGCAGGTCACAGAGTGCCCTGCGCACAGCACTGTCCCACGCATGCAGGGAGGTGCTGCTAGGCTCCAAGTCCATCCACAGAACAGAATTCCCGCGAGTCCCAGGCCAGCTGTGAGCCGGCGTGACAGAACCGACATGAGGGCTTTCGGTCGATGATGGCTCTCTGTGAGCTGGAGGGCTGCAATGGCACACGCAGGACAGTGCCGGTCAGCTGCAGCCACTCGTGAGAGGATTTGCGGGCATTCTCCCGCAGGCAAGCCCTCCATTTCCTGGCCTTCCTGATTCACAGCTCACATGATCCTTTTCATCTAACCGTCGGAGCACCAGGGAGCAATGCATCATGGGAACAAAGATCGCTACCCACACTGTGGCAAAGATTCGAGAGGAGTGCCTGAAGGTGAGGTCCCCCCAGCTAGCGTGTGTTGCTGGCCACAGGTGACACGGGGCGGCCCCGGTAAGCGGGGGCCTGAGTGAGTGCCTGCTCCTCGTTCCTGACATGATTATACCTCACCACTGCGCTGCCATGCAAGCTCTTAAAAGCCAGACTCAAAGTGCTGCCCACTTATATAAACATGATGATGAGGACTACCAGGCGATATTTATACACCGCGCACAGTAGTCGCTAAGCGGTGTCAGGCACGTACTCTCTGTATATTTCACACGGCCGTATTAGCCTGTCACGGGGTCTGGCCTCCCATGCTCTCAGTGTGGTCTCCATCTCGGCCTGGCTCCCGCCCGGCTCCCTGGGGCCGGTGCCCACGCTGCTCTGCGGCGCTCAATCAGCACTTCTTACGAATTAAATTAAAGGCCGGCATGAAAAAACCCCGTTTCTCAGTTAAGAAACTGAGACAGGAAGAGAGAGCGAGAGAGAGAGAGAGAGAACAAGAGGCTGTGGGACACAAGAGCATCATGAGAAGAGTTGAGTGACGGTGCGTGTCGGAAGGGGGCCCAAGACTCATCTGTGACCTTTTCACACTCACTGCATCTTCGGGGATGAGCAGAGGAGGTCCAAAGAAAGCCACAAAGCCTCCCATCCATGCCGGGATGCCGTAAATCTGGTCACTCTGCTTCCTCACCCTCATCTTGGACAGCTGTTGCCGCAGCACACCATGCTGCCCTACTGTTGGCTACACCTTGCTGCGGTGACACCCCCTTGAAGCATGAGCATGCGAAGATACGTCAGATGGTGGGGAAAGGCAGGGAAGAGGGGGAGCGGCGCAGCGAGGAGAGCGAGAAGCCCGGGCTAGTGGGACAACGGGAAGGCAGGCGAGGGAGCTGCTGTGGTGTGACACTGCAAATGTGGAATGCATCATGGAAGTGGGAGAGTGAGGACAGAAACAAACAAAGACATAAATCCTGCAGACTGACACCACGACATCAGCAGAGACAGGCGGCACCCTCCCCCCACGCGGCACAGCCCCTCTGCACCCTCCCCCGATGCCGCCCAGTCCCCAGCACCCCGCCCCCCATGTGGCCCAGCCTCTCTGCACCATCACCACACCCTGAGCCACTTCTGCTGCTCTGCCCTGCTCCACACTCAGTGACCCGGCCATGCGTCTTGCTGTGTGCGTGTGAGTGTCCACTGCCTCCCTGAGCCCACCTCACAGAGGGAAGGTCCTGGGGGAAACTTTGGAAGCCCCAAGGATCCAGAGAGAGACGGAGAGCTGGGATCGGCATGGGCGGCGGCGGAGGCGAAGGGAGGAGGGCAGATGCAGAAGGTCCCTTAAGCCAAATGCTGATGAGTCCTGCTTCCCAATATGGCCACTCAGGGCAAAAAGTCAAACCAAAACATGGCTATTCAAATAATTAGTAAGTCAGGTTAGCTTATTTACACTCAAAATGAGCACCAGAGCTAAATGTAGAAACTCAAATATTCCTGAGGATTAGGAGCCTGGCTGAAACTTTCTGACCTGTTCTCCTGTGTAAATTATTTATTTTTATCCATATGCATTTTCAATCTAAGAATGGACTAGAGTGGAAGAATACCTGTTCAATAGCACAACAGCAGAACTACCGATGTAGCTACTTCCTTAACCACTGCGGCACCTAGTGGCCAACATAATACTATGGACAGCCCATCACTGGCAACACAGAAGGGAGAGTGCCTCCATCAGCATTGTGACCACTGCCAGTGTCTCTCAGTCAAACAGCCTGACCTGACCTGCAGTGTCATGAACGAAAGGAAGTACTGTCCCAAAAAAGAAACTGCTAAAAAGCTTGAGCAGGAATAACACATTCAAACAGCTTCCAGGCCAACTACCACATAGGAAGAGAGAAGACATTTAAAAAAAGAAAGAGGGAGAGAGAAAGGGACAACAGAAAGACGGAGAGAGAACAAGAAAGGTTTGTTTTATTAGACCTTAATAAATATCTGACAGATTTCCTCAGGAAATATCGCAGATCACATGTAAAATAGTTTAAGACTGATGTCAACTGCTGCAACATATGAAATCTATTAGTAAAAAGCCACAGCAGACACAGAGAGAGAGGCAGGAGGAGAGTGTGCAAGGGAGAGCAGCTCTCAAAGTCAGGCAAAAGAAAAAAAGAAATCTCACGGCCTTTCCAAATTCTTCGAGAGGTAAAAAAGTCAGCCAAGACACAAGAATCAGAAAAAAAGCAAGAAGGGGGTGGTATAGAGAGAGAACAGAAACACACACACACACACACACAGACACACACACACACAGACAGACAGACACACACATAGACAGACAGACAGACACAGACACACAGACGAGAGCCTTACTTGTGGGTGTGTCCCTTAGCAGCTCTGTGCAGCGCTGAACCAGCAGTGCGAACATGGCGAGTCCCAAGGCCGTACTCTGCTCCTGTAGAGGCGAACGCACCTCATCCTGACCCTCTGCAAACGGGAAGGGGGGATGGGCGGCACCTTCACTCAGCATCTAATGTTATTTTAACGTCATACGGGTTTCAACCCAACAATAAGATCCAATGTAAGGGGAACAGAGCTGCATCACAGTGTGACGTTCCCCCTCTTTAAATATGGCATATGAGTGTGATGGACGGACACAAGGCGTGTGCTACACATCCGCATGGTCACATGGTTAGACGGGACATCTGCCAGGGGCCGGCTCCTGTTACCCAGGGAACCGCCAGCAGCACATAGGGGCTCCGCTAGCCGGTCCATGGCCACCCTCATCACTGACGTTAGCAGGCCGCCATGCCCCGGACTCTGGCAGCCATTAGAGCCGAGTGAGTGCACACGCTCTCTCTGGCCGCCGTGCCGCTGACTCCGCAGGCGTGAGAGCGAGGGCCGGCCCGCATTCCTGGCTGGCAGCGCACTCCGCTCAGCGACAGCTTGCGGCCGGCCGGCCTTCGCTGGGGAGAAGAAGCCCCCCCGCCCCTAGCACACAAGGGGGAGGGCGGGGGAGATAGAGGGCTGCCACAGACAGGCAGAGCAGCTGGGATGATTGAGCGAGACCCAAACAGAGGAAGTGAGAGAGACAGAGTAGTCAGGGATGGGGTGACACACCGACACAAAAGGGGCTGAGGAGAGACAGACACTGAGACTGTGCCCGGGGTCCGGGGCCCGGGGCCGGCGTCCGGGCAGCGCTCCCCCCGCCACGGCCGCCTGGGAGCAGGAAGTGTGCAGTGGGATAAGGCGGCCATGTGGCAGGATGTTATGGGTTTCTAATTAGAGCAATTCATCTGTCAGCGAGCCCTTGCACTCACAGGCACTTTCACCGTACGGCGTCCTGCGCCGAATGCAGGCCGGCCGCAGCAGAAACACGCATACGGGCACTGGCATGGGATGCACACTTCTGCACTGCGAGGCGCCGATTCGGGACAGTGTGAATGCTGACGGAGACTGCTCCCCGGACGGGACGAGGAGCGGAACAGGGGCCAGAGGCTCATTTCAATGAGACAGAAGTCCCCCTCCCGCCCCCCCCTAAGTGTTCAAATTCCTGCTCAGAGCTCAGCGAGGGGGCAGGGAACACAGGGCAGCGGCCGGGGGGATGTTTAGATAGGTGCAGGCTGCCACTAGGAAGTCCATACTCCAGCATAAACACAGGGCAACCCCAGCCAAGGGTGGGAGAAAGGGAGTGGGCACATCCCTGCAGAGACACACACACACAGAGACAGACACACACACACACACACACACACACACACACACAGACAAATACAGACACACGTAGAGAGACAGACACACAGACAGCTAAGCTCCAAGCCCCAACCCCAATGTCTGGGGCACTTAGACCACTCTCCTGCTGTAATATTACATTGCACTTCAGGCACACACCTACACCGGTCAGTCCGACTCACTGGCATGATACTCGGCTTTCTCCGACACTGAGGGCACTCATGTGGCACCTGAAAACAGCTGCCTTAGACCAGAGCTGCTAAAACAGGCCTGAACAGGAACCCGTGTCACTGCCACATGCCAGGGCGACCAGGGAGTCGGTCACCAAAGGAAGACATGTGTAGTCACCATGCCCCTATGGGAGGGGGAGGGTGGCCTGGGTGCGAATGAGACCACAGAATGACAACGCACCCTAAAGGAATGGTGCAGAGGTGCAATTCTGAGGAAGTGGGCAGAGCATCATGTTGGGGGGGGGGTTGGGAAAGATAGAGGGAGAGGGCCAGCTGGACAAGATCCACAGCCCGCGCCTGATACAGCAGCATGCCAGTAAACAGCTCCGAGGGTCTGGCCATTCCAGGAACGGCACCGAGCTGCAGCTGTGAGCCACACCAGCGGCCCTGGCTCCCACACGGCGACGCTGACACACGCATGCATGCACACACGCCCCAGCCAGATTCACACACAGATAAGAGCGCTGCACTCCAACACATCTCAGCTCGGGCTAATTCCTGCTAACAAGCTGCTGTATGGAGTCAGAGTCTCGTCACGGCTGCCCTGTGCCCCAGCAGGACAAGGCCGAAATCGGCAGGCCAAAAAACAATGAACCACATAAACAGCATTCAGAGAATATACACAGACGCGTATGCAGGTGACAGTGAGCTGAACAGGTGACGCCACAGGTAGGCCAGTGTCCAGTGCTAACCACTGCACGCAGGCTTTCTACCTCACCGTGGCCCATGGCCAAGCAGACAGGGGCCCCAGAGCATCCACAGCACAGGGATGAGTCTCGATGCCCTGCCGATGCCGTGGAGAGACAGAGACCCACGTAAACACAGCGGATCCTAAACGCAGCTGTACAGTTTTGCATGCTCGCTTTCCAGGGCCCATTCTGACAGGGGCGTCAGAAAAATGAGTAAGGGAGCTGAGAGGAACGAAGAGGAACACGGTGCAGTGCTATAAAGGCACAGTCCTCTGACGGGCCGCACATATATTAGGACGGCACCTCGCGCCTGTCTGGGCCGAGCTGGGCCAGGCCGGGCGGAACGCTGACATTACCCAGCAGTGGGAGGTTTATAGCATGTCAGGCGGCTTGCGATCCGCACGCTGAAGTAAAGCAGTGCCGCGGCGAGACGGCAGCGACCCACGCGCTAATCCCCCACGGACGGCCACCCCCCCGTGTCTGTCTGTGGGGGCGGGGGGGGCATTAGGCTAGTGTATGTGTCAGCGATGCGCGTTTTGGCTTAGATCGGGCCGCAAAGGGGAATGAGGAGGTAACACCTGGCCCCTGTAGCCTAAGGGAGGGGGTGCTGAAGTATAGGGGGCAGAAAGGCGGGGGGGGGTGAGAAACTGAGGAGGAGCCTGGGAGAGTCATGCATGAAGGAAAATCCCCTCCAGTGACGCGGGGCCATCACTCCAAGCAGCATTTCAAACTGAAGGGGGGAGGGCAGCTCATGCTGGCAGGATGAAAGGCTCCAGAGCTTCAGAAGGAAGACGGGCAGCGTGATATTCAATCCAGCATTAGACCCGTATGTATCGCACCTTCCCAACACGCTGCCCCAAAGCTACGTTTGAAAGGAAATAACTGAAAAGATTAACATCAGCAAAAATAGCAGGAAAATCTATTCATTTCTGTGACGATGCGCGTGTGTGTATCTGTGTGAGTGTATGATGGTGTGCGTGTGTGTATCTGTGTGAGACAGTGATGGTGTGTGTGTGTGTGTGTGAGACGGTGATGGTGTGTGTGTGTGTGTGAGACGGTGATGGTGTGTGTGTGTGTGTGTGAGACGGTGATGGTG